ATCTTTTTCACCTTCATATGTGTTTTTTTTTCAGTGATTACTTTTCTCTTGTTCTCTTTCGATTCATCAGTGGAGGGAGACAAACAATATTTATTTTTTGTTTTACTTGGCAACACTTTACTTTCTAAGTTAAAATAGAAGTTGTGTATAGTTCTTTCTTCATATTAAATTAGTTGATAATTAATGTTTAGCATTAAAAGCACATAAGGAAAGTTAGCAGCGAATTCGAGTTTTTCTTGATAATATTCGCTTCTAGACTTGTGATTACTCCCTAGTTGATTGTGATGCATGCAGAATTTACTTCTGCATTAAATTGTGGTACTTTTGAGTGAAGTCATTGGAGAAAAGGTAGGTGTTGGACATAATATAGTGAGTTTTTGACTTCACTCTGGTGGTGTTTTAGTGGGTTTCTTATGATCATGGCACGAATTTGTGGGAAGGAATGGTGAAGAGTAATTTTCTTTTCGAAATCGTGCGCTTATTTTATTTTCTAGGCATAGTTAAGTTGATGTAAATTTGGTGTACTCTGTTGAGCGGTGGAAAACATACGAATGCCTTGAAGATTCAGATATTGAAAAGCTATCAATTTATGAAGTTATTTTTCATTTATTTGAATCCTATCTTGGTGCAACCAATTTCTTTATTTTATTTTCTCGTTTAGTTAATCAATTTATCTTATGATGTCGATAGATGTTCTGTTCATCAGCGACAGGATTTGAACTTTTATTCTTCTTTGCGTATTATTGATGATATCCGTCGATATGTATCTCTTTATAATGAATGTTTATCGTGTTTAAAATTGTCACGCTTGATTATGTACAATAGTGAAGATTATTTTACAAGTAAATTTTAGATAGTAGTGTAATTCGGTCATCACTTTGTAGTTTTAATGTGACAATGTTGCATCTGACAGTGACTCTTTATTTATTGAAAAAAAAAGAAACGTATAGCAAACAATAAAAGAGGTTTATTGATATTTTAATTAATATTTTTCTTGCAATTTAAACTAATTCATGTACAAGATCATCTACATCCTTTTCTAGTGTGTCAATACGTTTCTGCATCATAAGCTTTATTCATCTAATGAACAACAAACTGAAATGAAGCCAAAAGAAAGAAAACTATTGATAATATGATCACACCGAGTTCTTTAATAATATCTGTTATAATCGATCGATTATCTCTTAGATCATCAAGAATGTCTTTTAATGTATTTTTGATTGTGATTTTATAGTTAGTTATTGGTTGTTTCGTCATGTTGGGTGTGAATGTGGGGTGTGAGTGTGGGTGTATCTTTATCTTCTTCATTCACCCACACCCACACCCTTGACACTCAGAATCATGACAGATCCTTCCAGGATTACTCAAGGAATGAAGAGGATTGAGACTAGGGATAATTGTTGCCATTCTTCTTCATGCATAACTTATTTTTGGAAGGAAGGATTGAGCCACTCTGTTTCATTACGACGAAGGTTTTTATAGATGAAGCCACACATAGTTAATTCTTTCAAAAGCAAAAAAGTTGGCAGGTAACGAGAAACTATTTAGGATTCTCTTAAATGGTATAACGAATGTCGATAGAGAATTTGGGGAAAAACAAGTAGTCGAGAGTGAAAGGAGAGGAACGAAGATGTGAATGAGGTAGGGTGTGGGCAAGTATGACTGTGGCTGTCGGTTTAGACGAAAGATAAACTCATGCCCACACGCACACCCACGCCACGCCCACACTCTCCTAATTAGCATCAATTATGTGTGCGTGAATCACTACGCATTGTGGCAACGCAATTTGAACTTAATAAGACTATTTTATCCATGCCTCTTATAGTTCACCATGAAGAACTGGAAAGACAGATATCCAAATTGAAGAGAAAGAATTATAAATAACGTATGCGGGGGAAGACAATCTTGTGTAATTGATTACACTAAATTCTTCTGATAATTAGTAGAAATATTAAACATATAATGACTTATCATATGGTTCGTATATATATATGTATGTAATGTGCAAAAAACTCAGTTGTCGTCATCGTCTTGATAAAATCGAGTGAATCGACTAAACGTTGGCTTTTGAATTGAACAAATGAATATATATATGACGGGGATAAAAGTTATTACTATTAGTATAATCATTATGTTTTGACGAATTCGTGAAGTATATGATATAGATTCATTCATCGTTGTTGTTTGGCTAGAAGTAGTTTGATTAATGGTTTGGTCTTTTGTGCATGCAATCGGCTTCAAATCTTGATATTTGGGTAAGTCGGACATAAATTTGAACTGAAGATTTGATGATGCACCGTATAAGAGTACACGAGATGCGATGTTGTAGAATTCTTGCCATTGAACAGCTTGCTCTAATGTCCATGTCAGATTAAGAAGCCATTCCATTAATTTAGAATCATTGAAAGACGATCTAAATACACATCAATAAAACTACGAACTAATTGTCGATATAAATAAACTGACGAAGAAGTGTTCATCATTGAGTTCCATATTTGTGGACTATTCATCATCAAACAATCATACATATTATTCATTCGAGGATAGTATTTCATTACATGACGACACATTTCATCTTCGGCTCTTTCACCACCCTGAAAAAATCAATCAAATTTCTAGGTATGTTTTGCTGTGTAATAAAAAGCAGTTTATTATTGAATATTTCTTACCAAAGTGATCGTATTCTTGTTTATAGTATTGTAGATACATCTTGTAGCGAGTTCATCACCCTGCAAAAGAAATATCGATTCTCGAATAGAAAACAATTTGATTATATCTTACTCGATATAATTTGATCGGTTGTGGTAAACGGTTTTCGTATTGATAATTAGAATCATATTCTTCTGCGTTGAATAAATATTGTATAGCTGTTTTATTTCGAATCAATTTTGTCCATTGTGTTCGACCTAGGAAAGTCTTTATCGTTGCCGACAGATCCATCCTCTATTTGTTATTGGAAACTTACCTTGCGAATGCATATGTGGAAACGCAGAAACTATTGTAATACCCTCTTCCGGAAAGTTCTACAACAGTATCCATAATGAACTTTTTAGATGAAACACAGACAAAGAGTCATATTTACCAACGTAGCAGTCGCCGGACAGTATGAATCAACGATAAATCGCTCCATTTTTGGTGGAATGGCCAGAGCACGCGGCGTTGAAGTAGTGCCCAAAGTCAAATAGCCAAGATCATATTGACGAAGTTCTTTACCGATATAAAAGCGAATACCTGAACTGTCCGTACGATCTAAGTAAAACATCGAAAATAGTTTAACAGTTTTATTTTCATATCAATCGAATTTCATACTCGAAAGTTGATTGGGATTATTATAGTGTATTTGAACCATATAATATTTGATGAGAAAATCACCTCCAATTGGATAGCCAGCTTCTTCTGGAAATGCAACTATCTATTTTAAATAGCTTTCTTTTGTTTATATATCTTATTTCGTAAAATATTTTTGATCTTACATCATTACCACCGACATCCCAAATAATGGCACCATTATATGCACACGGTGCTGTTTGTAGATAAATTTCATTACACAAATCGTCAGGCAAGTTATTATCATCAAATTGAGCTGTTGGATCACATTCATATATCAGTAGATGATGAACAAGATCTTGATTGGTAGAATCAATAATCATCTTATACTATGTAAAATAAAACAAAAATTAAAGTTATTTTAAGAAAATGATACGTACACCGATAGCATGTTGTTTCACTGAATAATTACTAGGAGCTTTATATATTTTACAATGAGAGGTCGCCTCTGTTGATGGAACGACATACTGAAAGAAAAGATCAAATCGATATAAAGAATAGTGACTTCAATAGAAGATTGAAATGTGACATGCATTGTTCAAACGAAAATCGAAGTAGTCAAGTCCAGCAAATGTATCTTCAGATAGTGAATCAGTATATGATCGAAGAGAAAGAGCACGTGAACCATGTTGATTTTCATGATAAGAGATTTCACCATTTGGGCCTGATGGAATAGGATCGGTCAGACCATAAGCAAAAATAAGTTTATTGGTGCCGGACTAAATATTGATAGATTATATACTTATAATTGAATAAAGTGATTGATTTCTGCTGGAAAAAAACTGGTATTCACTACTCGGAACTGTACTTGCACTCAACACGTACTTCATGAATGTGTAAGATAAAGCTAAACTAGCTAGTAGTGACAGACCGAACTCAGAATGCAGATATCTGTAAATTCACAAGTTTCGGATTTTTGCGTGTTTCAATTGCTATTAAATCCTATCAACAGCTAGTCATACAGTTTTTTGATAGCCTAACCTGGTCATTTTTTTCATAAGAAAAGCTACCGAAACAAACTAGCTGTACGTTATCAGGCAGAGCCAATAATAGTTTTACTCGTAACTTTTGCAAGTTGGGTTTACATTGGTTTGATAGTCATTCTCACCATTAATCGCTCAATAGTCGAAGTGACTTTCCTATTTCAAGACACATCAAATTACCTTGATTGGAACATCCATGAGATCACAAGTGTCTAGTAAACGTTTGAATTGAATGGCTGTCCATCCGCTCACTTCACGACCTTGAAGTGCAAACCAATCAATCGTAGTATTATCGAGCATAGGACGTTCTTTAGCAAATGCATACCGATCCTTGACAAAGACAAATTAGATCATGTATTACAAGATAGATGGTGGTTTTTTTTTACTTGAAAATATACACTGCCTCTCTGATCAACCCATCCTACACCAATGTCAGTCCCTTTCATACCACCTGCTGAATACAATCAGATCATGAATAAAGAGTTGAAGATTGAATAGAAACAAAAATCTACCTAGATTAATACCCAATGCTATCCAGCCTGTTGTGTTGATGTGTAATTCGAATGTGATCTCGCGTTCATTGTCATCGACTGTCCACCAGAGATCAGCAACATTTTTCTGAAGTTCAATCGAATGTTTGTATGTGGTAAAAGTTTCCACAGGAGTAGACATAGGTCTACTTCTTTCGATCACCAAAGATGAGATGATTAATTGTAAAATGATACAAAATTTTGTCATTGTTATGTTCTAAAAAAAGTAATTGCTATGTGGAAAACTAATGTAGGTACTCCAAAACGTATCCGAACACTTCAAAGAATTCCTATCCTTGCCTAAAACCATCTTTGACTCAGGCACATGAAAATTGCACAAAATTTTCAAAATATATTAGAACTTTAGTGGAGAGGCTATGAGAATCTTCTTTCTGTGCATTTGATTTTTTTGTTTAAAAGGACATGTCAGAAGAAAGTGCAGTGCAGAATCTTTTTTTAACCCTTACTTGTTAAGTGAAGGAAAGACATGATAATTTCGTTTCCAAAAAAACTTTGAAAAAAATCGTGGTATATTGTGTTACAGACCTATCATCGCTATTCTCTGCTTAAAAAGGTGAAAATTTACGAAAAATGAGCTCTGACATGCTCGTTCCTACAAAAACATTCAATGTATAGAATGAAGAGCCACATAGAATTTTAGGCCGCCAGATAATCCGTTGTTCACATTTGTTTGTTGAATATCTTCCGCAGCTTCCCGCGTACAGTCTCAATATATTCTGAAAGTTTCATACGATTTCAATATACCTAAACCAAAATCGATTTTGCGAAATTGTGAGAGCAGCTTGAAATGCTCGGACACTTTTTCGTGAATTCTCATCCTTTCCAACATTCCTTTGCTTTTCATCTCTGCTATAACTTGAGTGTCATCGCGCTGGATAGCATGTTGATCTGCGTGAAGAAAAGATATACAGCAACATTCAAAATGACATCGACACTCTACTAGTGTCAAAGATATTCTAAAGTTTATTTTCGAACAGTCTTCAAAAGTTTGCTCTTTTTGGCATGCTGAATATTCCAGCTGAATGTTTCTTCAGAAAAGCTTTCGACACATGTCTAGCATAGACTTGTAGAGTAGATCTAGGAAATAAACTTCTCTTGAAAAGAAGAAAATTGAAAGAGTTATGATGACAATACTGAGACTCATTCTTTCTACCGCATCTGCTACAAGGCAATCATTAGACATTATTGCATTGTAGAGCTTGGTTAGAAAATAATATACAGCACAGAAATCAGAATGAATTATTAAAATCTTCTCTTCCGAAATATCATTCACATAAAGATGTTAGAGTAGAAGATAACCTCTGTTAGCTTGTCCTAGAAAGAAATGCAATTCTTATGAATGCCGTTCATATTACTATTCCTGATTGATTTACAATTAGGTAATAACTTATGAACAAGGCAAAATCAGATTGATTCCATCGACCTCAGTGTTTCTCTCATGAGACTTTTTGTTACTCGTGCTAGCTTGCCAGAGATTGTTTCTCTAGAAAGACAAATATGTCAACTGACGATAACACTCTTTGACTGATGTTCGTACAGAGGAACAAATTTAAATTATACATAAAATACAATAATTCTATTTCTTTTTGATATTTTATTGCACTCAGACGAACAGCGAAAACAAAACGCGTCAATATGCGTCATATTTTATCTATCATACACTCATGAAAAGTGTACATTTTTACATGTTCATAATATGTTAAAGTTTCGAAATAAATATATATATATCTGGTAAAAAGTCTATGGCGTTATGTGAACACGTTTACATGTACGCTTTTTACGATTTGGTTTTTGTTGAAATTTCAATACACTTTTACGTATTTTTGCTCTTATTCGTCTGACTCCAAAGAAATATGATAATGTAATTTAATCTATAATTTAATAAATTATAAATTAAGTATATACAATTTATATTTAAAATAAATTACTGATAATTTAGATTTATTTTAAATTAACAGAAAAATGACATCCCTACTTATTTACATGTTCTATCATTTTTGTTTTTTGTAGCTACTTTTGACATTCAGTTTTTATTTTACTGATAGTCTAACAATATCAAAAATTAAATATGCTCACCTAATAAATGAAACTGGTATGTACGAGATTTGTTCTGATTGATAGCAAACGATTTTGCTTTGTATTTATCAATATCGAAGTTACTTGCTTTTTTTCCTACTTACGTATGTTTATGTGAGTCAATACAATACGTCGTGTTCATCAGGTAGGCAGTTTTTTCTCATTAATGCGCTCTTCATCACATGTATTTCATTCTTTCGATGTTTTTTACTCTTTTTTGTCGTTCTATGCGTTGTTTTTTTGTTAGAATGAGAAATTATATACGAATATTTGCATACACAAGAGCATTACACTTAAATTTCGAATTTTTTCTCTTATGAGTAAACAAAACAATAGCTGTCTGATCTTATGATTATATGAGAAATGCTAGCAGTGTGTTGTTTAATGTCAGATTTCTTTGCGATCATGATTTATTCGATTGATCATATAAGAGCTTTATCGCTTAGAAGAATCTATTGATGGATTAGATTTTGTAATTCATTGACATAGTAGTATCATTACTAGTGACTGTGATCCCACAGGCACGAAAATCAAATGAAACATCATAGCAATTGCCGTAATCAGGTGTGAAATGAATGAAGTGTTTTGTTGTTTGTTAGAACGTTGCCAGTCAGACTTGAATCGTTAACCAGACGACTAATTGCAAAAAAAATTAGAACAACACTCACACTTACACATCCATTTCTGCTCTATTTTCTTGAATACTGTGAACATTTTTTTTCTGAGCGTTCAATCTCTAGATCATAGATATGTTGCTATATTTTGTCACGTTTCTTGAGAATTGTTGTGCAAAAAACAAGATATTATTCATTACTGATAATTCATCGAAAAAGTGAATACAAAAGCAATGACGAACATACGAGAAAGCTGAGAGGACAATAAAGAAAAGCCTATCAGATGAATATAGATAAAAATAAAGAAATATGATCGACTTTTATCCAATAGAATGAATATTTCCTTGTCTATTGATTTACGTCTCATTTGTAAATACACCAACGAGAATAGAAGTGATCAGTACACATATGATGTTAGGCTATCAAATTTTACTCTCACAAATATATAAATGTTTCTAATGTTAGAAGACGATAGGTGATATTGGCAGTATGAATATACTATCACTCTCATTCTACTTAAAATAGTTTTTTATTATATTTATTATTTTCTCTCGTATCGATAGACTACGTAGGTTAATTTATCTCAAGCACTCTATGAACGATCGAGTCCATTTTTCTGTTTTTCTACTATAAGAATAAAAAAATGATACTATTATCTAGGTATATACTTCATGTCTTTGCAAATATGGAAGTTTCTTGCACAAAAAACATTTGTAGATTATGTTTGCATTGATTTTTGGTGGCATTGTTATATCGAATTTTTTCTAAAGTGCAAATATCAAGAGTAAAACAACTCAATAAATAAAGTACATTGAAAAAAAAAGAAAAAAAACATTTTTCTTGAATACTTCTAATCTTGTTTCCATTTTTTTGTTTGAAGAATGTGTAAACAAATGAATGTTAAAAAAAAGCAAGGTTATGTTTTTCTTTCTTTCTTTTTGTTCTGTTATTTTCTTTGTCTTTGCTTGATTGCATCTTATCAAGAGTCTTTTGCCACTTTTCATCTTTTTTTCTAACGTATTTGCAAGCATAAATGACTGGAAATGCGTTAAAATCAATCCATCATTGCTCATTAGATTTCAGAAACGTTTTTCTTCCACTTTTCGAGAATCGATTCTCAATGTCAGGTTCCATCATTTTTTTATTTAAATAATGTAACAAGAACCTTAGCCTTTTGGATGGGATGTGGAAGGGTGCCCGTATCTCTGTATGGTCACACATACCCCACATTCCCACCCCACCCACCCTTATATGTGTTTCAATCAACATGCGCTGATACTCTGTTCTTGAGATCATGGCTATACAATATATGGACTTTGGATGTTTAACGTCGAGAAAAAAAAACTCGCGACCGACTACTAGAAGATGCTTCGTACCTTAAAAATATGATAACAGCAACCAGTCTCTTATATTTATCATTATTGCCCATACATGAGTTTGTTGCGTTATCTATTGTCAACAGAGTGCAGTTGAGAGTTTTAACATGCACTGCTTCTTCTTTTAGAGCTAGTCACAATCATCATCACAACTACACTTAAGCGCGTATCGTGTATGAGCTTTTCTCGTTCGG